TAACGTGACCCAAATCGAACATATTCGCTGTACACCAAAGTCATACATGAGCTCTTAGCATGCCAATAAAAAACTGGGAAATAAAATATACCATTTCAGAAAATAATTTTTTTCAGTTTCATCGAAATTATCAACAATCGATTTCTCTAATACTACAATATTCATTTCAGAAATTCCGCACCTCATAACATCGTTCGCCCACTTAAAATTTGGAAACTTCATTAATAACCGTTCTATTCAGTAAAAGAAATTTTGAGCGATAATTTTCTTAATAATAATTCATTCTACAATTTTTTGGCCAACAATTAGGCAAAAAAGTGTGAGGTTAATTATAGTAAATCGATCAAAGAACGCTGTTACAATGATTGCTGGAGCAATAATTCATTCGAATGTCTGTGAAATATTATCAAATTAAAATCGATTTTCTTCTCATTGAAAGCCTCATCACACGTGCAGATTTTAAACGAATTCAACTTAAAAAATCGATAGCAAAACACTACTTATGTCGCTTTACGTCATGTCAAGCATGTGCTAACTCGGTTAAATATTGACAAAATATGAACACAAACTGAAATCGATAGTTATTTTTCGCCCCGAAAAACTTAGTAGATCGCGCATGCAGGCGCATTTGAAATAATGACAACCTGTAGTAATGAAGCAAAAAGTACAGAACATATTAAGCAAGCGACTTCGTCATAACTTCAGCCAGAAAGTTATTAAATTTCCCAATTGGTAATTTATGTACCAAATTCCATTGTAAAGATGGCTAGGCGTTTAGTACAAAAATTACTGGTGATTTATTAGCCAAAAGCAAGAGGAAATATACGTCTCTCTCTCTCTTGTGTGTGTATGTGCATGTGTGTGCCGACTACTGAACGAAATACTACAGTGATTTGAGAGAGAGGAAGAAGAAACCGCCACATAGTGAGAGATTATGCAGAAATAAAGGAATTAAGTTATCGAAGGAACTTGTCGCCTGTTTAAAAACATGACTGAATTGCATTCTCCCTTTGGTGACATTAATCGTAACGAAACGGACAAACAGACATTATCCTTTAATTGTCTAATACCTTATTACGTGCTTCCTCGCTAAATAAGGTAGTACATTTTCCACTCTCGTGCAAACTTACAAATAAACTTTATTCGAGGAAATGCAAGGTTTCAAAACGCATGATACCGAATTCATGTCTATTTAAGAGCTTACACATTAAGTATATTAGGCCAAATTCCACTTTGGAATGGATTTCTATTTTTATTTATGTTAGGAGGGGCGCAAACTCGGAACAACCGAAAATCAAAATTCTACTGATTTCACCATCCAAAAAAACAACCATATATTTCCTATTCAAATTCGAAGCGCTATTCATTGCATTTGAGAACAAGCAAATAATGGTTAGGTATTACCACCAGATTAATAGTGATTAATTATGGATAATCAAATTCCCTACAAATGTGGCATTAAACATGGAGCAATATTAGGAAACTTCTATTAACCGGCAGTTGACTTCTCACTTCAAACTACCATACTATTAACTGGCAGTTGACTTCTCACTTCAAACTACCATCTATTAACCGGCAGTTGACTTCTGACTTCAAACTACCATGAGAACCGGCAGTTGACTTCAAACTACCATCATCTCACTATATGTCATATTCGACTACTTTACAGTACTCACCTCACCTTTTTTTCTACCATTGTGTCTGCCTGTCATTTTTACATCTGTGAACCACTCTTCTGTTCCCCTCCCCCTCCTCTCGACTTTTTTCAATTTGATGTACCTTCCTCTCTGTGAAGCCCGAAGTCAACTAAAGGACTAATGATAACCATCAAGACGCCTGCCATTTGATATAATAATAATATTATTACTGCTCAAGGAGATGTGAGGTGGTTTTCCAACAAGAATCTCTCTTATATGATAAACAGAAATAGATTTCGGGGCCTTTTTTCGTCTTATGATTTCTCTCCCAGTGCCCTGGATGCAAATAGATCGAAATTTTTTGTTAAAACCAATGAGTTCGTCATAAAATGAGAGAAGTGGCATATGAATTGGGTATAAAAGGTAGAGATGTTAATATTTTGTTGAAAGGAGGGAAACTTGGTGAGTTCTCTCCTAACCACAAAAGGTCTCTTTTTGAGATCGATTGGGATCTAATTAAACGGGCAGTGTAAAGCTGCCAATTGGCAACTAGCTGTCAAAAGATTAACCCTCATATTCTATTTTTTTCGTAATCGCGCATTTCACAAGCCAATTCTAAAGTATAATTTCGGAAAAATGCATTTCAATACCAATCCCAGCTTCGTACTACAGAATGCTAGGTGATTTTCCCGAGTTTCATTGAGATTGAGACGTTTCGATGATCTAAACTTCTCAATCACATCCAAATACTTGAGTCCACGAGCTTGGAGCCTATTTGAATGGGTGGCATTCCTCTCTCATTACTCTGAACCGAATCGGAAATTAAACCAATTTTTTGAACAAAGAGGATGTGCAAGGTTAATGGGAAAATGTGTTCTGATAACCCATTTCTCACCCCCCCCCCCCCCCCCCCAGTTCTGGTTATTGAATTAGAGTATGAGAAAATCAAACTTGATTGAGTAGAATGAGAAAGACTATGTGACTCAGCGACCAATTGAAGTAAAGTAATCAAACTCCATCTACAAATAACTTGGCGTTTTATTGTTCTACTATCATGTTAACGACCCGATGCAGGGACGTTGAATATACTACGGTAGAATGAGAATTCCGAGACACAGATGAAGACTATGCGTTACTAAGCAAGAGCATTTACGGGTACCAAACTTCTTTAGTGGCTTGTTCATAGAACTAAAAACATTCGAGTACCTTGGGTAAGTAATCAAATTCAAATATAATTTCCGATTCAGAAGATGTGTGAATGACTCGTTCAATAACGAAATGATATTGACAGATCGGCTTATACAAGTAGACAGCAGCCAATTTTATATTTAAGTCACCATATCCCTAACACTAAGGAGAACGGGAGGCGAAGACGCAAAAAAGAAAAAGATGAAGCACAATGAGAGCTAAGGAAGTCGTTGTGCAAGACTGCCAATAGTTCACCACATTTATAGTTTAGCTCAAATAGTTAGAAGCTTAGAATAGTAACTGAGAAGTCTCAATTAGAAGAGAACAGGCTGTTGTATTTCAAGGTTAACATCGAATACTCCTTTTGAACACAATCTCACCAAGTCCCCAACTTGAGCATTTGGAATAGACGACAAACCAGTTACAGAATGGGCCTTTAGGGGGGTATGAGACACTAACCGAATCCCGCCACACATTTAATTAACCTCAATTATCAATAGCCCACTTTCTCAGATAATGATAAATGATTTTACACTCATGCGCACGCCCTCTCCTACTCTTTAGGGACGAATTCACACCATCCAGAAGTATTTATTACCTACGTTATCACCACTGTCGTCGCCATTATCGCCGTATCCGTCTCGGAATGGGGAGAGACAAAAGAGTAGAGAGGAGAGGGGTAGAGGGGGAGTGAGGGGGAGGGGACTTAAACTCGAATGTGAATGTATATGAACAGAGGTAGTTAGGTGAGTGGGTACGTGCGCGTTCAACTGCCATCAGTGTGAACGTATGCCTAGGGTTGTGAAGCATAGGGAGCTTTCTTTGTTTGGAAGACTTTACAGAAGGATATATACATATATAGAGGCAAGGAAAAGTAATAACTGACTTGTAGCTATGTGGATGGATGATCAAAGTCAAATGGACATCACTATATGCAAACCCATACTAATACGGAAAAAATTTTCTTGAAATTAACAAAAAAATTCTCAAAGGAGTGGGACAGCGACTACCAAGTTCATCTGGAAAGCCAGAAGTTGCGAGGTCGGCACTGAACGGGGATTACACCCTATTGTTGTAAATCGCACTGATTTAGTTTGAGAGAGAACCAGCAGGCACCAGGATGTTACACCTTTATTCAATATGAGAGTTATAGAGTTCACAATAGGGGTTTCGGTAGCTTTATAATTTGGTATAAAAGAGAATATCGCAGTGAAAATTGAATAAAATAGAATTATTTCAGATATAGCAAAAACGTGCACCATTTATACATTATGGAAGACCACATCAACTAGAGTATCATTTTCTATGTTTGATAAGTATATCTAATCCTGTGTAACGAAGACAAATTACACGATCAAATACTTCAATTTTAATTTTTTTATATCACTATAAAAAAAGAACAAAAAGATAATTCACTACAGCTCTTTGAGAAAAAAGAAAATACAGACATTATTTGATTAATATACTATTTCAAATGAAAAAAGTGAATACGACCAATCTTTTAGAATATTATCCACAACCATTGATTATCCAACTTAGGTCACCTTTTAAGCAGAAAATTGGCGAATTTTTTAACTGTGAATGACAAGAACAAACCAAGTGAGGAAACTGGAGTTGACTTCAGAGACGGTAAGTGATGGATAATTGCACAGATAAAATTGCATTTGAAGAAAGGGTACCCTTCTCCTACTCCTTATCAAAAAAACTAAAATACCATCAAAAGGATAGTGTAAATAAAAGATTGGAATTAAGCATTGACAATGTACCCACAAGAGAAAACATAATCAGCCTTTCCGTATTTCATGAATCAATAGCATAATAGAATTTTAAAACTGCTTAACTTCAAAAAATACCCAGTATCTTTATATTTATAAGTATTCAAAAATTACCAAACGTTAACTTGACGTTTAGACTAAGGATTCGATGAAATTATATAAGTAAATAATGACCATCAGGGGCAATTAAGAATTCTAAGTAAAGAATTACGGCTTTATAAGCTAAAAGACAAGAAGAATTGAAGGATAATAATAAAAATGACTACTTCTTTAGACAATTCGTGATCAATTAGCTACACTTTTATGAAAAATAATGTTAGGCAATCAGAAATCCTTACTAAGAAACAGGGTGTAAATAAAGCCTAAATTAAAATAGAAAGATGAAAAATAAATAAAAATTTCAACATACAGCACTTTCAAATGCACAGGAAGAAATATCTCCAGGTTGACTAGCAGGTGAAGAATTATCAACAGAACGACGGGAGAATGGAAAGAGACGCCAACGAAGAGACCGAGACTTTTGGGGAGTTTTAGCGCTTTCCACGCTATTACCGACATCATTGTGATTAGAATCCTCAGAGTTCTTAAATTTACTACGTCCCCGAAGTTTGATAGGCATCCTCTTAAAATAAGAAAAAAATAGTGAAAATTAAAAATTAAGAACATAAATAATTTTCAATTACTGAAGAATTGACATAACTTTAATATTACAAAATGGAACAATCTTCTCAGCCGCAATCAATCTAATAAAGAATTACCACAGATCAAATTGGATGTATACAAATAACGAGCCAAACCTATCGATAGATAGTACTGTAACCTAAAAACACTTAAAGAAATCCTTGATCTGCAAAATTGCATTTTTTAATTCTATAATGAATTTATGCTTTTACTAAAACAATGTCATAAAATATTTAGTTTTTTAGCAGACAATATTTTGGTATTTTGAATTGTGCATAATTAATTACTGAGTCTAAGTCATGTTGGTTAAATAGGGATAACTAAATACTCTTGACGAATATTCTATAAAACACTGTGAATTTAAAAATTCTTCTATTTATATATTTATATTTGTAGAAGCTAATGGATTAGATTCAATATCAATGTCTTTTCTACTATTTGATGTCTTCATTTTTTTACTTACATTACCTCGTAGATAAAATACATTGTAATACATATTAATATGCAAACAAAATTGTTTTTTTTCAATTAACTGAATCATAATATGTTTATCCACGGTGAAGTTTAGCTTATTTTTCCTTCAGCAACTTCCTTCTTTGTCTCTTTGGAGTCATAAATGCAGCTTAATTTCTCCCCTAAGTTAATAAGCAACTACGTTTTAAATTAATAAATATTACCAAAAAGCGCCAAATTTTATTATTCCTGGGGACAAACAATATATTTTGCATCATTGTCTTTTTGAAGTTGCAAAATTATTTTCCTCATAATTTTTTCTACAAGTCAACCTATCACATACAAGTCGTTTCAGAATTTCATCCAATATATGACATCACCTGGATTTTGTAGTGGGAAAAATATTTCGTATCTGTATCTACTTTCTAAACTGTAAGTGCCATCAGAATCCCACAACAATCGTACTTTAAATTTAAAATAGTTTACCATATAGTCTCGCAAAAATTTCAAGAATACAGATCGGTAAAATAAAAATAGATACATTTCAGTCCAAATGTGATATTGATATTACTAATTTTAATAACTTTGACTTTTTTGACTGCCTGAAACACATCTGAATATAATAGGCCAGCTTACGTTTTAAGGTAGCTTGGTCTAATTTCGTATGTGTCTCTGGGAATGCACAGCAGTTTCTCGTGTAAAGTCAAGGCCTTCTCTTTGTTAAATGAGCGTATTAGGGCGTGCGATAGACTTATCTCCACGTGGTGTACCCTGGACAACATACACACAGATGGTTAACTTCATATGGTAGTATACATTATCATAGCTTGTGTCGATCAAAAAACATTGACTTAGTCGCATCAAATTGGATTTTATGTACAAAGTATTAACATGTCAGCTACCACTTTTATCGATTTGGTAACTGATAAACGCAAAAGGCTATTGAGACCCTTCGAAGCTCTCTGTAAGACAGCAATTGATATCATGACTAACACATGCCGAAACTGTAAATAACTTCACTATTAGCTTTAAAGTAGTCTAAACCGGTGTTCTTATAACTCGTAATGGCTCATAAAATTTATAATTTTTTCGTTATAAATAAGGTAATTAAGAGTTCAAAAATATATGTAATTGATTTAGGAATAATCATAGAAGGTGTGTAATTAAAGGGGTCCTGTCTAAATCCGAATAACAGTATTTGAGAGGGGACAGCAAGGGCAAGGAAGAGCAAACGACTTTAAACAAGTTTGTATGCCGAGGCAGATAAGCAAAATACTGGAGAGATATGCCTTTCTATGTAGTAGGACCGAATGAATAGTCAGGGTGTTTTTTGTGTTCTTTGGAAGTAAAAATTAATTTTGATAATGATTCAATCACTGGCCTACTTCATCTTTGTTAGTGAACATTTTTCAAACAGAATTGTTTATCAGGGGAAAATTTGCTTGACAGAAAATTAATGCATGATTTAATTTATTCAGCTTTATTTATTTGCAAAATTCTTTTGCCCAGAGAAATGTGAAAATTCTCCATTCCTTCGAATACAACCTTTAGATATCGCAATTTCAGTAACTTTTAGAGAATGGCTATGAATTAAATTATTATTATGGTGCAATTGGAATTCCAGTTTATATATTGAAAATATTTAAGTGAAAAAATTGTTCATATTTTTTTAAATTTGCCATTCGTTGTAATTTGTAGCCAGTTCATGATACTAATATAATTTACTAAATATTAAAGATAAATACACCTAAATGTATGGCAACGTGATAATGAATATACATTAATTGTCAAATCTGTAGATAAGGATAGGCACGAAAAGGGAATATATTAAAAATCCCGTTAAACTGCGCAAAACTGATTTTAAATAAAGAAGATATGGTTAATGATAGGGCTCAGTGACGAATTTAAATACTAATATGCCTTGACTTATAACAAGAAATCTAAGCTTGAAATGGTTCAAAGGATTATCTAAGCCACCCAAAGCTAAAGAAGAAGCAGACGTAAAGGATAGAAAACGTTTATTTGGGCTGAGTGTTACAAAGCATAGTCATTATAATACAACGAAAGGGGGTTTGAGCAATGGATTTACCTCCACGTGGTGAACCCTGGGCGGCTTATGCTCATACGACAAAATTGTCCATTATCCGGCAGTTGACCTCTGATTTAAAACTGCAATGACCCGACTTATGTCATATTCCACCACTTGCACAGTACTTACCTTACCTTTTCTCTGCCTTTGTGTCAGTCTGTCTCGTTAACATCTGTGAATCATCATTCTATACCCCCTAACCTCTCGACTTAGTGGTTTTGATGCTGCTCCACTCTGTGATGCCCAAAGTCAACTTAAGGGCTAATGCTAATTACCAAAGCACTTGCCATTTAAAATAAATAAATGAAATAATGAAGGGTTTGATAAAAAGTGCGAGGGCTAGCGGCTGACTGAGAGGCCTCTGCGCTCAGGATCGCACTTGATATAATCGAGACAAGTTGAGCGGTCGCCCCTTTGATTACCTGCCTGAGAGCGCGTAAGATTTCCTTGTGTTCGTTGAGCGCACCACAGTTCTTATAAGCAAATAATATTTTTGATATGTTAAGCCGTTATTTTTTTTATCAATATAGATGAAACCTAATAAATAATAATTTCACTTAATTCTTATTTCTAATATATTCCTGGTGAACGGAATAATGCTGTGGCTCAACTGTTTTGAAAGGGAAAATATACGAAATTTGTAATAAATCATCTATTCGTGGATTAAATAAAACAAATTTAAATATTTAGTATATAATTAGGTATCTCTAAGAAACATGACCAATGGGCAATAGATGCGATTAATAGCTCATATCAAAAGTTACCAAAGTGACTAGATTTGGAAGAATTAATGGTCTTTCAATCTCTTTTTTGGAAAAATGGTCGTCTAAATGTGGACCCAGTGTATTTTATTGAGTGCTTTAATATAAAAAATATTTACTTTATATTAAATAATTTGAAAATAATAGTAAAACAATGGTTAATTGAAAAATACTTTGATTTAAGTACCGCTTGTTGCTTATAATGCAACACTTTGTTACTGTTATAATTAACAACTGTCTCCGCGCTCGCTTTGCTATTAGCCTTGCATTGTTTTTGAGTTTATATATATTATTTATATTCAGCGTAATTATGGCTTCCATTCCACGATTTAATGTAACCGGTCGCTATCGTATGTTACAATTACAAAACTCTAATCATTCTTCAGGCGAAAGTGAAGAGTCCTCAGTTAAAAATGGCTCTCGATTCTTTGCCAGTGGCGATTCACCTATTTCAAATCTTACTCGCACCGACGATAACAAAAGTCGCCCCAACACTGCTACCTCTCAGGTAATCAAAGTTACCATTTGCTTAAATATTTTTTGAATATTCTGGGTTTGCATATTCTGGTTTTAATTATTCGTTTAAGTATTTTATCGAGGCTACTTTTCAAGTATTTACCTAAAGTTATGTTTCTTGCATTTGCATAAAGTATCGATTTTGCATCAAAAGATTAGGACCTTATTTTATCGAGTCGTTAACTATAAAACTTTTGGAACTTACCGGTTCGTATGATCGCATATTCCTCCCGTATGCGTTTCCCCTAAATCGGATCTAGATAGTAGCATGGTCTTCTGTTAAGTGAAGGAATGTCACATTGTGCGATTACCCCTTCAAATAATTTGCATAATCACATCTCAGAACCAACCAGTAGTTTTATGCTAATGGTCTTACTCAGTCAAGTGTTTTATTGCGCACAAAAGACGCATCATAAACCCTCAAGCGATGCACAACAGACATTCTCGTCCATTTAGAAATCTCCTTCCAAATTTTCTGCAAAGATTAAGATCGGCCGGGGGAAGTTGGGGAAATGTAGAGAACTCTGGTCGAGCCTCCTCATCTCGATCGTCAGCTATTAGTGGAGACGGAACTAATTTCACAGACACCATGAGCATGTTCTCAGTTCCTGCCTCTTATTCAGGTGTTTATTATGATCGGGTTGGGGATGATTCTGATGAATCTGGATCCTTCCTCACAGTGTCTGATCTTGATAGTTATCGAGATCATGCGAAACGTCCGGATTCTTATTATGCGGAGTATGCTAATATTGAGGACTCAAATAAAGGCAGAAATGATGGTGACAAAACACCCACTAACTCTCCTACACCAAAACCGTCACCTAAAATCGATAACCTAAAAGTGAAAGATAGCTCGTTATCGCCAAAGAAGGTGGCCAGATTGGAGAGCTTGAGAGATACTCATCGACGTATGAAAACCCTCACTCAGTTCTTCCCCACTTTTGCTCTTGATCCGCCATCAGAAACTACTGAGGAGGTATTAGAGTGGGATTTTTTACTGTCTTTCCTTTTTTAGCCCGACGAAGACGCTAAACTCGGATTTGCCAACATTCCAGACCAAATGCATAGAAAGGCTGTTAAGAAGGGATTTAATTTCACTCTAATGATTGCTGGTAAGCGTCCGTTCAGTTGATACGATTTTTTTGGTTTTTTTTCATTTTTTGTTGTTTCTTTATTTCACGTAGTTACTTTGGTGACGATAACATTTTATTCTCGCATTTTCGCATTTTTTTAGTTTTGATTCTCCACTTAAAGGCTTACGATTTACGAATCATATTTTACTAATGTAGATATTTATAGTTTATTACCAGTTTTTTTAATTTTCTAGCTTCAATGTGTTCCTTTTTTCATTCGGATGTTCTATATGTATATGAACTCAATTTCAAAATTGTGGTCTACTTATTCTTTTTTTTAATATTAATGAAAATGTTTGATGTTCATCATGTTTATGCTGCTTGAAAATTCACTGACATTTTGGGCTCGGCTACCATGAGTCATTGCTGCTGGAAAACGATTTATACTTCCTATGATTTTCGCCCAGTGCCAAACCTGCTTTCAGAGTTTAAGTATATTCCATTTATTAAGAAACACCATATTTGTGAAAGCAATTTCATACATACAATCTTTAGATTTTTTCATGGTTTTTTTTCAAACTTTTAATTTGTGATTCTGACATGTTTCCTCGTAGAAGTAGGCAATGAGATTTGGAAATTTTTCTAAATAAGGAATTCTCTTTTTCTCTGTTTTCATATTCTAGCAAATTTTTATCAGTTGGGCTTCATTTCTGATAATTTCTGAAATTTTCCATTTAATCGAAATTAATTCCTAGTTTTGTATACTTAAATAGATTTTCTATAGTGTATTTTCCCATTTTTTTCTGTTTAATATGGTGGAATGTTTGACCTATTAAAATTCAAAAATTTTTTTATTGTTAACCTTTTATTCCGTACTTTTCTTTTATTTTTAAAATAACATTTCAAGTTTGTGGCGAGCATGGTGATTTTCTTCAAATTCGCAATCACATACTGTGATCAATTATACTTTACGTGCTTAATAATTCCGACCTTTAATCACCCAATTACCAAGTTTTTTCACTCGAGACAACTTTATATTTGCTCAGTATGCAAGACTCTTGATGAAAATTCACCTAGAGCCTAAGTCTTGAAGGTACGTGCTTAAATCTAGCAGCTAAGAGGCCCTTTCCTTCTTCTAAATAGTCCTCTTAAGACTATTCATGCACATCAAAAATGTTATTGGGATGAGTTTCATTTTCTCGAATCCTCGTTTTAGCAACGCACTATTTTGGACACTTATTTTGGGTAATATTCAGTCCTACGGAGACTGCTTTTTTCTTTCAGTGGTTCATGAAAAAAATTTTTTACTGTTTGCTCCTCTTCTGTAAATGTCAAATTTCAATTTGATGCAGAGTTTCTCTCTCTCTCTCTCTGGCTATCCGGACAGATTTGATTGTACGAGTGTTATTAATTGTAACATGCAGTCGAACCCAATGGGCTTTCCCCTTGAGGTTTTAAATCAGTAGAGATCTAGATCATCTTCCATTTCTCCTTAGCAGTTTGACTTTGAGTGATATTTTCCGTTTTTATAGTTATTTATCTAGGTAGGCTTTTGTCGAAGGGAATAGGCTCTTTTGGCTTTTAAATCATTCTCTCAAGGGTATTGAAAAATCTATGACTGGAACAGTTAGTTGCGTAATCAATAAATATGTCCTCAACCATGAAAGATTTCAAATGACTTCTCATTTCTTTCCTCAGGTGAAAGCGGTCTAGGCAAGTCAACCTTGGTCAACAGTCTCTTTATGCAAGATCTCTACAAGTCCCGTGAACCATGTGATGCCAGCGATATGATCAAGAAGGTGACCAAGATTGAGAAACGTCAGATTGAACTCGATGAACGGGGTGTTAAGCTCCGTCTTACTATCGTTGATACACCCGGTTTTAATGATGCCGTTAATGCCGAAGACTGGTAAGGAACGACGTGAATTTCGTGTTCCAGTAATTGTTACTTTTGATAAGATATATAAGTGCCTCACATAGATAAGAGATAGCTTCTGTTTGTGAGGAAAGATTTTTTGTTTATTTCTCAAGTCCTTTATGAGACTTGTTCATTATACTTGGCTTATTTAGATGAAAAGTGTTCTAGAGCCATTTTTATGGAAAATTCGCCTTCTGTCATTGATTTTATCTACTCGAATTAACTAACGCCATCGGCCATTTACATTTCTGGGTGTGCACCTATGCGGGGTTTATGTTGTGCCTTACAACCACTTCACTACCGGTGTACTTTTATTCTTAAGGAGTTTTCTCTTCCCCCTGTCTTGTAGCTGGAAACCGATTGAAGACTATATTGATGGAACATTTGAACAGTACTTCAAGGATGAATGTGGATTGAACAGAAAAAACATTCAAGACAACCGAGTGCATTGCTGTCTTTACTTCATTTCACCTTATGGCCATGGGTATGTTTGCCACTCTTAAAATCCCTAAACCTTACCAAATCCTATCCTTTATTTCACGACTATCATTATGGCGTTCTCAGGTGTCTTGGTTTGCTTTTGTTTTGGGTTCAATGTTTAGCTAAACCAATCTTTGAGGAACTACACCCCTCTGCTGATGTACCAGGTTACTCCTATTCTTCTTCCTATGTGTTTTTTGAAGAAGTCAGTAGGTTCTGTGTCAAGCGTATGGGGTATGGTAATCTTGGCCTTAGTCCTTTTATCACCTGAGGCCTGAGGGAGTTGTGTAAACCATAGCTGCACTGAAAGCAATGTACTTGACAAGTATCTATTTAGCTGAAATTGTGCTCCGATCGGGAAAAGGGGAAGATAGTTGATAATTGGGGGAAGCAGTGAACTTTAGATCACATTAACATTTCATCGAGCATGTGACTCGTTAGTCTACCTAAGGCAATGACTAATAGCAGTTATATCGAGCCCCTCTCCCTGTCTGATGGACTATTCGCCCACGCAGCCGCTATATCACCGGTTTACAAAAGCCTTCTACTGTTTGTTTGAAGCTAAAGGGTGGATATTGACACATAAGGCGCATCGAGTTGCTATCGACCAACAGGAGTTTAACCCAGAGAAAACGGCCTTAGCATAGTTGTGTGTGTGTGTGTGTTTTGAAATGCTAATTATTTTGCACCTGCGTGGGTTTATTTTGCGATCTACATCTTTGACGTATGCTTCGAAGATCGGTTACCATACCAAATGGAACATCTCGGTCTTAGACACCCTAAATCTCGTAGTTTTCTTGTGTTATGTCCCGAATGAGTACTTTGTGGTATAATTAGTGTTGTTTTTTTCTTCTTTCAAAGTTCGCCTCCTATTTCATTATTCGTTGGCTGAAAGTGGTTTATTTCGATTTTTAATCGCGTTCCCTTTTTTTATAAAGGCTAGCAGTTTTGCAATGAAAGTAGTGTCCGTTTAAGTTGTCAAGTTGATAATGTGCAGAAAGGCATTCACGATTTATCCTTATCAAGAGAAAGGTTCTTTAGGTGGTGACCCATGGCTGCTGGTTTGAAATCGGATGGGCAAATACACTTCTTACTTTACCAGTTGATTCTCTTTGAATGGTAAACCCTCACTACAATGCTCGTCCCACCGGGATTCTCAGCGGACATCCATCCCAACACCATGTAAACGGTCAGTATCCAGATCAACTAAGTTCTTTTTAGAATTCGCAACAGTTTAAAAGCTTGAAGTCACTTGGTTCTCTTACGTAGGAGGAGGCTAATGACCGCTAAATTGGTCAAGGAATTCAAATCCATCGTCTCCTGCAATCGAGAGATGAAACACCTACATCCTAATGCAAGTATTAATTGATTTGCGACGTCCGAAATCCATAGTCCATTAGGTTATTGATTCATTCATCTGATTTAATCCGAGATAAAGCAGAAGAGATATGGAGTAGATATCAACGTGTAGTGGGGAAGTATATTCAAAGTTCTTAAGAAATTATGTCTGCCTTGAGGAATTTTAAGCTGTGGGAAAAGTTTGATGGGATGAGTAAAGACTGGAATTAAAATCGCCCTCTTTCATTTCTTTCCATCTTGATATCCACACTACTTATTGACTATATCGTGTTGCGAAGGCCATATAAAGATCTCATAGAAAATAAGTCGGTTTATCGATCATATTTCTTTTGGATGGACAAATGAAGTACTCGGGGCGCGAGTTATCCTCCAGTCGACATTTCACATTGGGGGTTTACCACCTGATTAGCAATGAGATCTCGTTACTTTTAAGAATATTTGCCGCCTTTTTTCTTCCTAGCCTTCGACAGGTGGATGTTGAGTTCATGCGTCGATTGCAGAACAAGGTGAATATCGTTCCTGTGATTGCCAAAGCTGATGCTCTCACAGCCTCTGAATTGCGCAACCTCAAGGAACGCATCATGTCCGATTTGGATCGTTACAAAATTGACATCTATCGTCTCCCCGAGTGCGATTCTGATGAGGAGGAGGAAATCAAGCGACTTGATAAAGAAATCAAAGCGAGTTTTTGTATTTTGTTTTATCTTGTCTATCTTTCCCATTTTAATTAGGTTTAAGCTTTTTTCCAGAATGGTTGCTGATTTATTCGGATTTCTGTTTGTTTCCTTTACTATGCATCAATGAAGTTTTATTCTAGTTTTCATTAATTTTTTCTTTGATTTTGAAATTCTAGCTGTATCAATTGAGTTAGTCAAGGTCATGTGTGTGTGTGTGTGTGTTCATAAATGGTATTTTTTCATGTTGCGTGGATTTTTATGTCTTGAATTGTTCTCCTCTGTCGTACAAAGTATTTCCGAATCCCCCCAGCGATGCATACTCTGCGTGCCTATTTTAAATTCCTTTGTTTTAATGTGTGTGGTGGGCTTAGTTGCGTCTGGTTTGTGCCAACCTGTCTTTGTCATGCATATCCGTTATACTTTCACTTAGCCTTCATCCATTAAATTCGACTTCCATTTGAAACTTTTAACTTTTGAGTATATCTGCACTTGCTAATTCTTTGATTTGAGTTCGAAATCATCACGTGAGGAGTGAGGCTGAGCACCAATCAGAAATTTGTATAGATCATGATCATGTGACCAACCAGTCTTCGGTTGGAGTCACTTTTCCCTGTCCTCAAGAGAAGGTTGTTAATTGATTGTGAACTACGAATTTTTCCCATTTCTTTAATACGGTCTGTGTTTTTGGAACTTTTTATAACCAATCGGTAAGAAAATCTTTTCGACCGGGGCGACTGATAAGAACTGATCACAACTTATAAGATGGGCTGCAATCTCTCGGTGTTTTATCATCAATTCGAATTGTTCCTTGTTAATTCCCAGTTTGGCTTGCCTTGAAGGGTGTTTCACTCTTCTCTTTAGCAAAAGGGCGAACTTCCCTCCAATAGATTTATCTCAAGTTTGCGTGTTTTGTACTAAATCTGGCTTGTAATTTTGTAAAAATATGTTCTTTCTCTTTGAATATTGGTGCGGACGTATGAATACATAAATTGTGGTTAAGATTTTTGATGCATTTGACTCGAAATTCTTAGTTCTTAGCTCAGATTTATCTACTGTTTTCACTTTATTTCCAGACAATGAAAATAGATTGACGTAAGTGTTTTATACTAATGTTACTTAATCAGCTTCGCGTTAGCATGACTCACCCATCTTTTTCAAGCCTCACCAAGATTCCGTTCTGTTTTGGCTTTGTTCCATGAACGCAGTGGTGTACGGACATTTTACAATCATTGCCATAACATATTCTTTTATCTTAAAGCTAATTTCCGATGCAATATTGGCGACAATTTCCCACCCATTAACAGTTCTTTTCTTCCTTCTCACAGGCTGTTCTTCCATTTGCTGTTATTGGTAGCAACTGCGTGATTGAAGGCGAGGGTGGAAAACGTGTCCGCGGTCGTCAGTATCCATGGGGGGTGGTCGAGGTGGAAAACCCTAAACACTGCGATTTCACCAAACTCCGAATCTTCCTTCTCAAGCAAGTTTTTATTTCCTGATTCTTTTATAAAACCTCGTGCACCAAGGCTGCATTTGGGCTTTCCAGGCCCCCACCTCATTGTTATTTCTTTTTTAAGAGGGCTTTTGTGCAGTGAATTGTCATTGATATATATATATATATATTACTTTTCGAATAAGCTCATAGTGTTTCTCTGTTTGGGAAAATGCAGTATTCTTTAGTGTCAAATTTGATAGGATATTTCTTCTGAATTTCTAATTTTATCGACTCATTCTCCTCTCTCCATTCCTTGCCTTTTTACGCCAACAACAAGACAAAAAAATGTCTCATTCAATGTTTTGTGAAAGAGCCTTGGGGTGAGAAAGTGTAGCTGATTAAAATGCAACTGATGTTGTGTGGTGCTTGTTCTCCACAACTTTTTCATCCTTCTCCACATTGCACTTGTTTTTCGTTCAACTTTTTGGCCCCTTAATTCTCGTCCAACCAACACTGGCTCCCTTTGCTTGGGTGCATAAATGTGTTTTGGAATACTTAAAGTTGAACTATTCGACCTCTACATTTAGATGAGTTTCCTAATTTTCATCAAATGGCAGGCTTTATGATAGTTATCATTTGCCCTTTAGTTAGCTTCCAGCTTCACAGAAGGGAGAAACATCAAAGCGAGAAAAAGCCGCGGGGAGAGGGGGGGACAGAAGAGTGATTCACAGACAGACACAAAAGTAGAAAAAGGTAAGGTGATGTGAGTACTGTGAAAGTAGTGGAATATGGTATGCAGTGGGGTCATGGTTGCTTGAAGTCAAAAGTAAATAGGCTGTTTATAGACTTTTTTGTCGTATGAGTATAAGTTGCCCAGGGTGCACGTGGAGGTAAGTCTATCGCCCACTCCAGTTTGCTAATTGGTGCCAATCAATTGGCATGCTTCTATGGCAGTTGGTGGCCTCGTGCAAATTAGAAGAATCTTAGAATTCCTCCGTTGAGAGCCCTCTATCTGTTCATCTCTTTAATCACTATTATTTATCATTCGTTAGATGTGTTGTCGAATATACTATTGACTAAATCTCATCCTAATTAAGTAAAGTGTTGATGTTGGTTCCAAACCCCTTATCACTTTCAAGGAGTTTCTAGTTGAGAAGTCAGTCTTGAACAGGTGTCACAAGTGTATAACTCCTAATTTTCGGCGTGGGCTGTAGACATGATCGGAAGAAGGTGAGTTGGCTTTATTGATAGTTACTTCAGAATTTTGTTTACCTCGTTAGTCACTGCTATCTTTAGTCATTGTCATCGCGAGTAGACAGAATTTGATCAACTCTTTGCTTTCCGTTGTTTACTGTTGGATGAGTCTTCCTTTTTCATTATCTGATGTTTTTTTCTCAAATCCTTATTGCATAGGAATCACTAATACTAAGGAAATGTCTACGGTCTGGTGCTAGGTCCACCTGCAGATTATTTCTAGTCTAATTTTAAGACACAGGATTGTGGGGGGGGGGGGGGGGGGGGGGGGGGGGGGANGGGGGAGGGGAGAATATATGTTCTTTAGTTTTTTCTAGAAATCAAAATTTTTTACATCTAACTTTTAGAGACTGTCAACTTGCATTTCCAGCAATATGGCAACGATGGTACTTTATTCTGTCATGCTAGCATTTAAAGCTAGTTTTAGGCGAACATATGGTCCTAGAAGCATTTTTTGTATTTTCAGACTTGTATGATTTTTGTTCAGGCATTGGATCTTTTCCCTTCCTCTTGTCGGTGGAATCTGTTATGTGGTGAGATGACTCCACTATTGCTATGCAGATTTATCCCAGTCGTCTGAGTGGAGTGACAAATTTATCAATGGCAAACTTGTCGGCTTGGTTGATTGGCCAATGAAAAGGAGTAGACTAATAAGCTTGCCTTTCACGCTACCGTTCACTTTTACAACAATTATTATTCGGCCAATTAGCCATACCGGCCATATTTGCTTCTTCTTCTTCTTGTTGCAAGCATATACCTAATCAGCACCATGCGCAGTCTTAAAACCAGAAATATTTATTTATTTAGATCCAGCAATTTGTGACTTTGGGGAAAGAATGGCTTTTTATTAACGCGGTGATTCCAAGTACAGCTGTTAGTAATGGTCGAAAGGGTGGCTGTTGCCTGAACCCCAATTTTTTCCTCTTAACCCTTTTCTGATTGTTGCTACTCTTTATGCAATCATCTTTTCATCCCGTAAAGCCCAATTCGATTTTAAGGCCTTTACGGATTAACTGGGAATCATGTTTTACTCTTATGCAAATATGCTTTGGTATTACCATATCAAGTCACGTGGCTGTGATAAATTTAGATTTCTTTTTTTTCTAATTTATAGGTTGTCAAAATAATCGATTCGTGCTTTTAATCAATGTATATTTTTTTGTATCTGTCACATTAAATTTTTGTGTTACTTTCGCGATTCATGGGGGGTTTTTGGAAGGTTGTTCGTCCTCTGCATTCTTTTTAAAAGAGGACTAAAAAGATGGGATCTTTTTTACCGATTTCTGTTGTATGGTATTGACGAATTTTTTAGATAGCACTTTTTATGCTGATTTCTAACTATCGCAAAGCTGTGTCTACTTTGATATAAAATGAGTCCCTTGAGTGTCGTCCTAGGGGTGTAATTTGTTACAAATAATATAACCCTAACGTTTCACGAGTTTTGACACTAAATCTCCTCCAATCACAATTCGCTGCTATGTCTGCTATAATCACCCCAAACGAAACGTCTTTATCCCTTCTTAATTCGCTTTGGTTAGATTTCTGCTCTTACTCCCTGTGTGACCTTGAGATTGCATTGCACACCATTCAGTCGGTCTTTCGCTCAGTTGCTAGCAGAACTAGCATTCGCGTCTTTTGGGCAAATTTAATGCGATTCCTAGGGCTCTTATGCCGGTCGACAACCTGCTCCTTTTTTTAAATCTGCTGAGTATTTCAATTGAAAGAACAGACACTATTGTGGGATAAAAAATGTTCAAACTGTTAGTTCTCAATTGAATGTTGTTAGAAATGGACAGAGGTCCTAAAACATATGTGCTGAAGACTGCTTGTTTGATTTCAATCAAACTGCAGCTGAAGTTTCCATTTCCGTAGGTCTTGCAACAAATGATTGAAGGAGAGTGTAAAATTAATAAATTCGAAGGAGAATATTTGCAAAAGTGCGAATGTTTCTGAGCCTTTGCAGCAGCCCAAATCCGGCATTTCGTATTCCACAATGACTCACTCGTTATACTTTTTTCCATTTCTCTTTCTCTCCTATGCGTTGCGTCACCATCTTCTGTAACACTCACTGCCCAAGTGATATTTTATGGCCAATATTACCGCCGCATCATTACTGGTTTAGGTAAGGTAATCGGTGCCCTGGTTACTGGTTAAGTGGAAACACATGTCACAGACAGCAGCATGATTGTAATACTGCCCTTAGAACAACAAAAAATATTAGACTCATTTTGGTCTAGTGATTGCTCGCTTCCACGTTACCAATTCAAAAGACATTGCTCGATACTCAACGACACTCTTCCATTGATCCAAATACTCAGCAAGGCATGAGGGTTGGGTATACTTGAGGGGAGTAGGAAATTGCATGCTTCTTTCCCGAAAAATTCTTTACAGTTTTGATGGGATATTATAACATCGTAAACTTGCTAAATTGGCTTCACCAATGGTTGGATTTGGAATAGTGACTACTTAAAATAGATTTTTATTATTATATCAAATGGCAGGCGTTTCGATGGTTATCATTAGCCCTTTAGTTGACTTCAGGCTTCACAGAGAGGAGGAGGAACATCGAAGGGAAAAAAGTCGAGTGGGCGGGGGGG